GTAAGGTTAACCCTGCATGGTGTAGGTGTTTGAACATTATTAACAGTTGCAAATAAACATTCATTAGAAATTTAGAAAAGTAATTAAAAAGTAATCAAAAGTAATCAGTTACATTACTTTAATAAAGTAATTGAAAAAGTTACACTACTATTACATTTTAAATAGGGTAACTTGTAATCTGTAACCTATTACATTTCCAAAGTAACCTTCCCAACACTGCTTGTGATCCTATCTACATCGGAAACAAGTGTTGTTGCATTGTGTAGTGAATCAATCTCTAGTCAGAAGCAGTACGAGCGCTTGGAGTACGTTAGAAATAAATCATACGTCACAGCAGCGCCCATCTGTTATTTTAATATGCAAACCTGTTAGCCAATCATAGCAGTGGGCATTTACTTCCGATTTTTGAATGTGACCTGCCTATAAAAACAGACTATTCTGCAGAGAGGGTCAAAAGTAGGAGAGAAAATAGCCTATTACTCCTAAATTATACTTTTTGATGTAGAAATCTTGTAAAAATGTCTAATTTCATGGACCTCAGAGAACATTATAAAATAATAAAAAATGCAGTCCATGACGCCTTTAAGCTAAATGTAAGCACATCACACCAGTCTTGATTTCATTGCATTGGCTCTCTGTTAAATATAGAGTAGATTTTTTAAAATGTTATGGTTTGTATTAAAATCCCTCCATAACCAGGCACCTGACTTGCTGCACTCATACATTCCGTAGCAATCTCTTAGATCTGGTGAATCTGAAATACTTTGCATTCCTAAATCCAAACTTAAGAAGAGAGGTGATCGTGCCTTTGCTCATGTTGGACCTAAGCAATGGAACAGCCTCCCGGCCCACATAAGAAGTGCTTCAGTTATTTCATTTTTTAAATCTAAACTTAAAACCTATTTATTTTCTTTGGCTTTTAATATTCCGTGATCCCCCTTATACAGTACATACCAGTTTCTTTCTTTATTTTTTACTATAATTTTTAACTGTATTGCTTTTGATTATTGTTATGTCTTCAGAATCAGAATCAGAATGAGCTTTATTGCCAGGTATGTTTACACATACGAGGATTTGTTTTAGTGACAGAAGCTCCACAGTGCAACAGAATGACAGTGAAAAGACAGGACACAGATAATAAAAAGAATAATATAAGAATAGACAAAATAGACAATGTACAAAAAAGCAAAAACACAATATATAATATAGACAATTTTGTATGTACAGGTATGATATGTGCAAATTTGAAATGTAAATGAGTATGTGTGTTAAATAAATAATGTATACTAGTGTTGTGGTCACCAAGAATGATTATAACAGAGTCTGGGTGTTGTTGTTCTGTGTCTGTGATCTGATCAGCGAGTTTCTGTAAAGCTGAGCTCACGTGCGCTTGCGGAGGAATGTAAACACTCACGAGTATGAACGAGCAAAACTCCCGCGGCGAATAGAAGTTAACGAAGATCGCTTCTAGATCAGGACAGCACATCTTCTTTAACGCTGTAACATCTGTACACCACCTTTCGTTGATGTAAAAACATGTCCCGCCGCCGCGC